CGGGTGTCGGGGTCAGGCCGGGGTTGTCGGGGGTCGGGCCGGGGTGTCGGGGTGTCGGGGGGGGAGAGCCGGTCCGGGTGTCGGTGTCACCGGCGCCAGAAGCACGTGGAGCGGCGACATCACTTCCGGTTCCGGTGCCGTGTGCTCTGCGCGCGGGTCAACAGCGACAACAACGTACAGTATTCTCGGCCTCTCCGGTCCGCAGAGAGGTCCCCTCCCCCGTCCCCCCCGTCCCCCCCCCCCCCCACCACCGCCGGCCCCCTCAGGCCTCAGCCGCGGGAACATGCTGCCTCTTGCCATTGCCCGCCGGCTGGTGTGGGACCCCCTGGTCGGCAGCAGAGCCCTGAGGCTCGGGCCTCACGGGCTGAGGGCCGCGGGGGGAGTGCGGGTGATGAGGAGGGAGAAGGAGGAGGAGAAGGAGGCGGAGGAGGAGGCGATCCCCATCATCAGGTTCCCGCAGGGCTTCAGACTGAATGTGGAGCAGAGGAAGCGCCCGAAGAAAGACCGGGCCCTCGGGGTCAGGCTGACCAGACCCGGGAGACTCCTCATCCAGGGCCGGCAGCCCGACCTGGACCAGTCCGCCCGCCACAGCTTCGGCAAGTTCGACCCGGTGCCCCTCGTCTCCAAGGGCTGGAAGCACAGGAAGGCCGCAGGCGACTACTTCACCATCAACAAAACCCAGTCGAGACCCCCCGTGTCGCCAGAGAGCGGGGCAGAGGAGGGGACCCCCGGCGAGAACCCGCAGACCTTCAGGTCTCTGGGGCTTTGCGGGGAGCTGGTCGAGGCTTTGGCCCGTTCGGGTATCACTCGGCCGACCGCGGTGCAGTCGCGGACCATCGCGGCCCTGATGAAGAGAAAAAACGTGCTTTGTGCGGCCGAGACGGGCAGCGGGAAGACCCTGAGTTACCTGTTGCCTCTGATGCACAGGTTAACGTCGGAGGACGGCGAAGATCCAGGCGTTGGCACGAACGCGCCGCGCAGCGCGGTGCTGGTCCCATCTCGAGAACTCGCCGACCAGGTGAAGGAGGTCGCGTGCTCCCTGGCAGCTGCCGTTAACCTCAACGTACAGAACATCGGAGGCGGCAGAGGGATGAGGGAAGCCAAGCAAATACTTGCTAAGGGCCCAATCGATCTGTTGATAGCAACACCGGGCTCACTGTGGAAGGCACTGAGACGAAACTTCACCGACCTGATCGACTTGAGGTACTTGGTGTTGGACGAGGCCGATACTTTATTTGATGAAAGCTTTGCGGAGTTGCTGGATGAAATTCTCCATCACACGCGGATCGCTTCAAACCCTTCCGAAACGCGTGGGGTGGAACGAAAAGCCCAGCTGGTGGTGGTGGGTGCCACATTCCCAGGGGGTGTGGGGGAGCTGCTGGACCAAGTCATGGACTTAGGTAGCATCACCACGGTAAGGAGCAAGAGGCTTCACCACCTCATGCCGCACGTAAAGCAGAGGTTTGTGAAAGTGAAGCGAGCGGACAAGCCCACTGACTTACTGAAGATGCTAAAGGAGCTGGCAGCTGAGAAAGCTGGCACTGGAGTCCTTGTATTTTGCAATAATGGACCCACGGTTAATTGGCTCGGTTATCTCCTGGAGGACCACGGCATCAAACACTCCCGGCTCCAGGGGAAGATGAAACCGGAGATCCGGAGTGGGATCTTCAGCGGTTTCCAGAAAGGTTTAGTGGACATTCTCCTTTGCACGGACATTGCCTCCCGCGGGCTGGACACGCAGCGAGTGGAAGTGGTCATCAACTACGATTTCCCGGCCTCGCTATGCGACTACATCCACCGAGCGGGGCGGGTGGGGCGGGTGGGCAGCAAGGTGATGGGCACCATCGCCAACTTTGTCACCCACCCCTGGGACGTGGAGCTCGTGCAGAAAATTGAAACCGCAGCTCGAAGGAAAACCATGCTACCCGGCCTGGAGTCTGAAATAAGCCAACCCACGCCAAAGAACGTGCCAGAGAGAACATGAAAATAACTGTGTTAAACGTGCATTGTATTAAAAGTGAGGTTATGTCGATCAAGTACCTTTATGCTCTACCGTACAAATTGTTGAAATAAATACCTGGATTTGTTACAATGGTGCAACTTACTAAACTATAACTGTATGAGTATACAGTGTTCAATGATAGGAGAATGGTTAATGCTGTTACCTAGAATGCTTTTAAGTTTGGGTTCCTCAGTCTGATTTACAGCCCAATCTGATGGGATAAAGTCACCTCTTGAACATCTGTAAGATCCCAAAATAATATAAGTTTGGATAGTTTAAAGCCAGGTTTTAGTAAGACTGAGTTCTTATGAGAAAGTCCAAGATACACTGTTGAATGGTACTAAATTGGATATTGGTATTACAAGAGGGGAGACAATTGACTCAACAAATAATTAAGTCATGAAAACTAGTACAGAGGAAATTTATTAGAGAGAGAATGTTTTTTGCAGCTTTTTTGAAACTGAGCACTAGTTTAATCAGTCTAGAAAGGAAAGATTATATCTGCTACTGGTTATTCCAGCATCAGGTCAGTAAATTCTTGAGTCTAGATTCCCAACACTGCCCAAACCATGGCCCATGCCAACCTAATGCCTTATACCCTCTGGAATTAGATAATGGGGTTTGTCCCTCTGTGGGGCAATTTTCTAGACACGGAATTTCGATGTGTAGGTGGGATACGTGCAATTCTGTTTGGTTTAGACACACTCAACATGCTGATGGGTTTACGGCTGGTACCAAAATAAAAACTGGTCAGTCAAAATGTTAACGCACCAGTGGATAGTTTCTAGCATCTGAATCATATGGTCTAGCACTCCAGTAATCAGCTCATTTCTAACCCTGTGAGTCTTCAGAGCAGTGTGTATTTCTCAGTAATAAAAGCAGTTTCATTCATCTCCATAGTAACATGCCAATCTCTCACATGACGGGATCCACTGACAGGTCTGCCTTTATGTAGTGCCTTCCCTGAGCCTTTTAGGCAGAGGTCCTAATGGTCACAGAGCAGAACAAGGAGCTTTTCCATGAAAATTTAGTTTCTCCAAAACAGCACAACAGGGCATGAACTTTTTTGTATCCAGTTGTCAGTATCTCCAACTGATTGCATGAATTCGTAGAATTACAGAGTGACACGGCGATGGAAGTGGGCCATTTAGCCTAACTAGTCCGCACCAGTGTTTATTCTCCACACAAGCCCAAGACATATATGGGGAAAAGGCAAATAGGACTGAAAGAATTACTGTTTAAAAGAGACGGCACGGACAAGAGGGGCTGTCATCTGAACAGATTGGAGATCTACTTGCAACTTACTGACCAGAGGAAAGAATTTCTTTGTTTTAATCAACACCACTCATAATTTTTAAAAATGCTATCGGGTCAACTTTCCCTGTTCCAGCTCCAGTTTATCGCAGCATTACATGGTGAAAGAGATCGAGTGACAAACAGATCGGAGAATGGAGACCGTTTGGTTGGAAGTGCTCAACTCCACAAACTACTGGGTCACTGCCAACATATGTTTTCAAATTCAAAGAGATAGATTGCTTTATTTTACCTATTCTTTGGTTACCTTACCTTCTCTGTCCCAGATCTGCATGCAGTTTTTCCATTACAAAGTGTAAGGTAACATTTTAGAGTGGGTTTACAATGGGTGCCAATTCCCGTTTAATAATGTCAGTCAATAATGGTTCGGCTTTTATTACTTCACAAGTCAAACACATAGTACTGGAAAAACAATCAAAAACCAAAATCACATTTTGTGGAATAATTGAGCAGAACAATTGTAGAATATACTGTCACATGAAAGCGTACATAATATCAAACAGAGTAGGTCTGCCTTGGAGAGTACGTTCTAAAGTTTTCTAGAGAGATTTAGTGCATACAGTAGAGGTAAAGGAATGTAAAATCAATACACACACGTACATCAATGAAGTTCACACAATTATAAGCCTGCAGCTCACATTTTTGATTACAGGAATAATGAGTACAAACGGTACTGACAACTTTACACTGCTAATCCTCTGATGCTGTTTGTTTATAAGCAAGAAAGGAATAAGGCAATATGTAGCTGTACTGTACTGAGGTACTGAATTATTCAATAGAAAATCACTAATACAACATGCTCAACTGTAACTTTCACCATGTTTTAAACATAATTTTTCTGTTTAAATACAGTTGCTTTACACACGTACCTCTTCCAAGGTGGTTGAGTCAGACAGGTTTTTGTCCTTTTCACAAACTGGTCCCATATGTCAGGCTGCACCTAGAGTACTCTATACAGTTCTCATTGCTGAAATATAATGGGGTGCCCAACTCCTTGAGACAGTGCAGAGGAGAACAATGAGGATGATCCCCAGTGTTAGAGAAATGAGCCACGTGCAACAATTGGACAACATAGGGTTGGGTTCTTCAATCCTGAAAGAAAACATCTTGGAGGTGCATACAATTTACGTGGGATTGAAATAATTTCAGATGCACCAAGACAGTCGACCAAGAGGGTATAGGTTTGGAGTTGCAAAGGATGATGTCAGGACAGACACCAGGAAGTATTTATTTACCCAGAGTGTAGTTAACAACTAGAGTGGGTATTTTGGAAGGATGAGATCAAATGGGCCGCAGGATCTTCTTTATCAAACCAATCTTGTGACCCTGTGACACTATGCAGCCCTGTTGGAATTGGGTAAAGCACACGAGTTGATTTGCCTCAAAGTCATTGTGTATTTTAACATTCCAATTAAAGTTGTTTAGTGCATTCTGAAGGTTGGCTTCCAATCACCAGGTGGAGCTACAGCAGAGGATACTTGCAACATGTTGTGTGAATATCCTGAATAGCCGTTCTGTGTTAATCATTTTGGATGATATAAGAAACAAAGATCTTATTTTGATCCCTAAAACCCAACAGTTGCAGCGCTGGGCAGCGTGGAAGGATTTCTGCTCACATGCAGAGGTTTGCTCACTAGCCAGTGCGCTGGAGAGGTTGTGTCGCAGGACCTTTGGCATGTTAAAATCTTAAGGGCAAATGCCCGGGAACTTTATGCTGTTGGGGCAGAGCTAAAGCTCTTCACAAGGCACGCCCAACAAGGCTTCCATTCAACAAAATCACTCCATAAATGAGACAACTGTTTGCATTGATTCAACAGGAATTGTGTAGCAAAACTGGCCTAGAAGAGACACTATTCAATTTTAACAACACAACCCCAGACTGTCCCAAAGTAACAAAAGTGTAATTACCTTTTATTCCTTCACTCAGTTTTCTCCATTTTCTACTCCATTCACCTTGTGATGATCTCTTCCTAACCTGAGCATTTCTTTACCACCCCCATAACCGTGACTCCCACCAAATGTTCTTCATATTTAAACAAGCTCTCCAGAATGTAAAACAGCCTTGCAACATTTAAGAATCGAAGGTTGAAAAGTAGTCAAGATCTTGCAAGATTCTTCCATAAACAGACAAAGAAATGGTGAGCAGCATTAAGACACATTAAGATAACAGCTCAAATATAAAGGCAATATTATAGTGACATTGATGCAGGCAAATTGTCAAGTTGTGAACAATAGCAAAATCATACTTAACACACTGACGCAAAATATTTCGAGAAAAAATTCACAAACTGGATCAATACATATCCAGCAGGAACTGGCACACTGCTCAATAAGCTGGACATCCAAACTGGTCATTTTTATGTTTTCTGTGCACGTGATATACATGTCCTCAGATTTCAATATTTCTGAGATGATTTTAACTAAAAGCAAATAAACTTGCAACTTGCACAATAGACATCTAACCAATACGGTACATCTATTTTGTATGATTTAGTACTGAACTAGGATTGTATATTGTTCATCAGGAATCATAGTTGAAATATGAATCATTTCAGTGACTTAACCTCTCTCTCCAGGAGACTGAGATTCGTACATTCATTTAACAATGATGCTGATCACTGCTTATCATTAGTTCCTAGCTCTGTGATCCACAAACACGAATTGCAAAGAGCACAGGCTTGCATCTAACATGAACAAAATGCACAGTTACAATTTGACTCCACAAATAAAACAAGCAATTTGCAGCACTTTATTGGAAACAAGTGTTTTCAGAACCTCATTTAATTTTTAACTAAGCCTCAGTGACGTTTCATTTTTAACCAAATAAGTAAAAAAAAAATCGCAGACATCAGTTCAGTTTGCAGAAGAAAAACAGTAGAACTATGGCTGTGGATTAGTAATCCAGTAGTTGTCATTTTAAAGATTTTTAAATTCTCAGTTTGGATAAAATTGGGTAGAAATTCCAACTGAGTCTAGATTTACTCTATTACCGTAACATTTCAGAGTGTTCAGAATTTCTTAAATTCTTAAATGCAGTCTTTAATTTTGAAGCCAGTTTTCTGTAAGTCCTTTTAAATGTTAAAACTGAATTCGACAATTTGCCAAATTCTGCACACTGAAATATTATCCTAAAAAGTAAATCTGGATGTAGGTGGGAATCTTACTCCGGATATACCATTCAATTAGTTGTAGTAACTCTTAGGTATTTCATAAGATTGTTTGAAAGTATCTCAATTTGATTTAAACTAGGCACATGAAAAGATTGTGATTGTGTATATTCTGCAATCCATTCTAGATTTTCAGATCATTTATAGGCTTGGTAATACACACAAAATCCTGCTTTGATTGTTTGCCGTCATCCCTAAGGTTCTGAGCTCAAATGGCAAGGTTTTCTTAGTTACCTCTTATATTCTACAACCTAATGTGCATTAAACTGTCAGCTCCCTTATTTGAAAGGACATCAGTACGAGGTTTGTACTAAGCAGCGGTATGAATAATGACCAATAAAATAACTCATGTTATTCTTTCCCATGCTTCTGTACAACACGCTAGTGAACTAAAAGTTACTGCATCCAGCTGCATTTAGAAAATCATTGAAATATACCCCTGGAAAGATACTTCATCAATTGCTAGCAGAAATATGAACCATTGTAAACAAATTAGTAGTACTGAAATAACTGCAGCTAAAGCTCAAATGTACCTTGTTTTACTTCAATACCAGAGGGCAGAAAGTATAGTTCCTGAAGATTCTTCCATATTTTTCCCTCATGGGAACCAAAGCATGGGCCCAGGTCTCACTAAGGAGCATGAGTCGGCAATGGCTCAATGGTAGAATCAATAAGGCTCTGAGCAATCAGCAGCGTATATAGAGAAACTGGTCTCCAACATTTAACTTATCCCTTGAATGTCCTATTTGCCTAGAAAAAATACAGTCACTACACAATGGTAATGATTACTGCAAGACAGTTTAAATAGTATTGACGTGGTAAGGCGCTATAGATACACAGGTTCTTTCCTTCTACTCAAACTGTTTGTGTGAATTAATAATTTAGCAAAATACCATAAAGTGCTCTTTTTGCATTGTCCTCTTTAAGTTTCGAGTTCATTTGTGATCGTCCAATACATCCAGAATGATTCCAATCTGACCCATTGCTGCTTCTGATTAGAATATTTGTCAATAACTTATACTTGATGTCATTGCGGTTTCCCTTTATCACACAATTTAACCAGCTTATTTCTACTCAACATGTGCACGTACAGAAAAATGCAACCGAGTACATTTTTAGCCGAGAGATATTGGAGCACTCACTTATACTCTTCAGTTGGTTTTACAGATGCATCTGTGCAATCATCGTTTGGACATTTATTGGTAGTTAAAATGCTCTGAACACAACCCCCTGTGAAGGGTGCTATATAAATGCAAGTTGTTGTTGTGTTATCCAAATCAATACCTGCATCCCATATGTCATATGAGTCCCATTGGATGTGCAGTTTCAGTACATATAAGGTACATTTGCTCAGTCACAATAATATACAGATCCAAAGAACAGTCTCAAGCGTTTGTTATTGAATGGGTGGTGGAAAAGGTCTCCATGCGAATCCTCACCACCTTTTCCTCAATGGGAGGCGGCAAAAAGCATTTGCACGTGAAGACTTGTTGGCAGGCTTTCCTGAAGTTCTCTGACAGGAAAGCGTATATTATGGGATTGATGCAGGAGTTGCCATACACCATACAGTGAGCGATGATTCGGAAAACAAATGAGGCGTCTGTTATTGGGAAGTTTCCAAATGCAACCCACATGGTTATGATGTGATGCGGCAGCCAGGAAAGAAGGAATGCAGCAACAACCAGCATTACAGTCTTTGCAGTCTGTGGAGAAAAGAACATTACTCTGTGTCCTGTAGTAATAATAATAATACTTGCATTTGATATAGCGCCTTATCATCATATTATCGTTGAGACGTCTAAATGCACTTCATAGAATATATTGTAAAGTTGATTGATTGTGTACTTTGTGGGTGAAAGGTGGCAGCCACTTGCGCACAGCATTGTTCCAAAACCAGCTGTGGATTGAATGACCAATGTTTTTGTAATGGAGGGATTATTACCCTGTACTCTGTTTAAACATTCCAAGACGCTATCATGCTCGATGGGTACGATACAAGTGCAAGTTGTTGTTGTATCCAAGAATGAGTACCAATAAAAATACAAATATTAAATTCAGAATCGTATTATTTTACTGCATTTCAGAAAGAATTGGTAATTTCTCACTGAGGACTATACAAGCTGGAACACTTGTAATGTGCTCAATACCAAAGTACAATTGGTATATCTGCATGACTCTTATTACTTTTAATGGGACAAAAGAATGGGTATGAAGCAACAAGTTAGATCGTTTTGATACTTGTGTGGACAGGAGGAGTGCTTGTGGGGAGGGCTGTTATACAGGTTAGGAAGGGAGTTAAGGAGCAATTCTGGAGCAGTTTTATTAAACACATAAAGAGGATCAACATAGTTGTTTTATTGTTTTATTCTCACAATACATTTCACATTTTTCTAGGTGCCTGTTCTGTATAAAAGAAACAAGGTCTATATTAATAATAATCCTTGAATTTGATAAAGCGCCTTATCACGTCTTCGAGACGTTGTCAAAGTGCTTCACACATTATACTGTAAAGTAAACTGACTGTATATTTTGTGGATAAAACGCCATATTTTGAAAGCTGGAAAACAAATCACTCCTTAAAATAGATTAAAAGTTAATCGGAAAATGGATCACTTTTTAGTGACAAGGAATATAGTTTCACTGCAGGGAATTCTCTGTATCCGTGGCCAGAACTCTTAATAAAGATTCTGCCAGCTAGCATGCTCATGTTTCATTAAAACCAGCTCCTCAACAACGCGTAGCTTTGGCTCCTGCTCGGATCGCTTATTTCAGCACAGCTAACCTATTTGCACTCAGTGCTCTCAGTAGGTAACTTCCCGGGCTTTGCACAGATGTTATGCTATCGGAGATAATAGGAGAATCATGACATATAGCATGGGTAATGCAGCATAATGAAAAATGGAGACTGATAGGAATTGTGTGAGATTGTGTTGAAGAGGTTTGTATTATCTGATACTTATTTTTTTATTATGCATAATTAAGGAAAAGCTCAAGAGTAACGAATCTTCCTTCACATCAAACCTAACCCGCTTCCTTCTGAAGCGAACAGTTCCCACATCCTCCCAGCTTCAGCAGCCCAGACATCATTGTGTTACGTGGAACATTTGATCATCTACAAATTCATTTTCACCTCTCTGTAACTAGTATATTGTTCTCAAACAGATATTCATCCCTTTCATTTTAGGTTTAATTATCACAGCATTAACTGTTTGCGTTACAAGTCTGATTCATGTGTGTATATATATGGGACACTACTCTGAGGGGGAAAAACTCTTATCTCTAGTTTTGGTTGAGACTTGTTCACTTTACACCTGAATACATAATCAAGTTCTGCTCTCAGAATTTACTTCAAAAAGCCTGAATTTAATCAAACACAAGTCTTCTTCAAATCCCCGACCTGCTCTGCCATACCATCGGTGAGTGACACTCCAACGCAGTGCGCGGAGTGTGTTGCATTGTCTGAGGTCCCATCCTTTGGTTGAGACGTTAAACTGAAGTCTCATCTGCCTGTTCAGGTGGAAGTTAAAGAGAAGGGCATTTCTCCCGGTGTCCTAGCCAACAATTCCCAAAATAAAATTAGCCATTCGTTTCAAGGCTGTTGGCAAGACATTGCTATGTCCAATTGGGCTGCCACATTTGCCTAAAAATACACAGTCACTCCACTTCGCAGTAAATCTTACCAAGTTTAAAACATCCTCTGACTGAATGCAAGGGTTATTATAAAATTCCAGTTTGCACTAGTCAGCGCTGATTCCTGGTCTGTGCAGTGTTAGCTGATATGAACCAGGGCTGGCTGTAGGGTAATACAATTTGGTTCAACACCCCTGGGACAAGAGAGGGGGAAAAACAATTTCTGGCTTGGCGCGAGTGATCATTCTCTAGTAATCAACTTTGAAAAGTGCTCGTCTGTTAATCTCAGGCAAGTACAAGACCCGGCTTGGTGGTGCCGACTCTCATGGTTAAATAGCTGGCCAACATTCAGCGTCTGAGCTCACACATGAAGAATGGGCACTGACTGAAGTACTGGAGAGCGGCTGGCGCCGATACTCCAAGATCTCAGAGAGCGCGAGAGAGAACGATGAGAGGAATTAAGATTGGATTGAGGCCAGGAAAGAAAATTCCACTTGGTGTCAGAAATTAAACAAGCTTGTAAAGGACAAAGATTGAATAAGGGGAATTAAGCTGCTGAAACCAGCTACCCGCAGGGGAGCACACAAACTGTGGCTTCTGAATATGGAAATAACTCTCAAACCTGTTTGGATCCCAAAGGTGAAGTTAATGCACGACATAAGAAAATAGTTTCCAAAACTAATATATCACAATCTGAATATAATCATTGCTGGGCAGGTGGCACTTAAGATAAAGTTGAAGCTGAAGCATTTTATCCTTCATAGAGCCACAGTAGTAACAGTCCAGTCAAGCTTACAGCTACAAATGCACATTTAACCTTGTTGTTTGGAATTATATTTATTGAACAGTATAACCGCATTTACACACCATTAAAACTGCCAATTGCCTCCAGCTCGTTTGATACTGTACCCGTGTTCCTTTTCACGTGTGTTTACCAACAATTGTAAATGAAAGCAAACCGACCTGACGCCTCGAATGGCATTATTTGGCTCCACTGTTAAGAACATTTACAAACCCACTTGTTCCTGGTAGATAAACAAGTTAAAAATAAGAAGCACAGAAGAGGAGCCGAGTTTCCCTATACTGCTCCACTCCTGAAGACACAGTAGCTGGGTGAAATAATGCTTAATGTCTCGACTTTTGCGGAGAGTACAATACTGTATGCGCACCAGATCTCCAGGTCCCAGTGCTTTTCAAGAGCAAATAAGTAATTAAAACGTACACGATTCGGGGACAGGTGAGGTGAGGGAGATGGATGAGGAAGGAGGAAGGGGGTAACGCGCGGAGGTCGGTACTTGTGCTGAACAAGTCCTTACCTTTTTCTTGGATCTCCTGGATTTCTTCGATATGTTCTTTATCTTTCTGTGCAGGTGAAATAAAACCTAAGGCAGGAAGACCCAGTCGGTTAATAAGGGTGTGTTAAGTTTTTGCAACCTGTTGTGCAAATGCAATGCATCTCAACTCTTCCTCCCAACTGCTGGGGGGGTGAGATGGGGGGGTGGTGGGGGGTGAGATGGGGGGGTGGTGGGGGTGAGATGGGGGGTGGTGGGGGTGAGATGGGGGGTGGGGGGGTGGGGAGAGAGAGAGGGAGAGGGCAGACCAGGAGGTGTGGAAGGTGGGTTAGGAATCGGGACAACGTGCTTTTAAAAAGTAAGTAAGTTGTGGAGTGCATTTCTTAAGGACCAGGTTTTCTTGAGGGATGGGGTTTGACCAGAGAGAGCGGACACACAACGTGACGCACTGTCGGCAGTGCCGGACCCTGGAAAGTGTCAAAACGCCCGACAGCGCATTTCATTTCGTTTCGTTTCGTTCCGTTCCGTTCCGAAATGATGGGAAAGGATTTGTGTGCGTTTTACGCGCGTACACACACAACACACAACACACATAACACAACACATACACACACATAAACACACACAACACACACAACACACACACAACACATACACACACACACAACACACATAAACACACACAACACACACACAACACATACACACACAACACATACACACACACACAACACATATAAACATACACACACAACACACACACACACAGACACACACAACGCGCACCACACGCACAAAAACGCACTGTATTGGGGAAACGACCCCTTCCACGAGAAGCCCTAAACCACTGCGAATTCCGCAAACGTGTTGCGTGAGTTCCCCCCTGAGGTGCGCAGCTCTCTCCCCCTCTCCCCCCAACCCCTCAACCCCTCTCCCTCCAACCCCTCAACCCCTCTTCCCCCCAATCCCTCTGTGAACGAATTGGTCCGAGAGGGAACCCCACCGCCTTTTGCCATCGAACGGTCGGCTGTGGGGATCGGTAGGAACCGACCCCCCCCCAAACAAACAAAAAATCCCAGGAGGGAGGGGAGAGAGTCGGGAGGGGAGGAGAGCGGGGGGAGGAGAGGAGGGGGAGAGAGTTGGGAGGGGAGGAGAGGGGGGGAGAGAGTCGGGAGGGGGGAGGGAGGGGGAGAGAGTCGGGAGGGGAGAGAGTCGGGAGGAGAGGGGGGGAGAGAGTCGGGAGGGGAGAGAGTCGGGAGGGGAGAGAGTCGGGAGGGGAGGAGAGGAGGGGAGAGAGTCGGGAGGAGAGAGAGTCGGAGGGGAGAGAGTCGGGAGGGGAGAGAGTCGGGAGGGAAGAGAGGAGAGGATCGGACTCGGGGACTCACCTTCGCGTAACAGCAGCAGATGAGCGCCAAAGGCAGGAGGTACCCGACCACCAGGACGGTGGCCTTGTAGACCTGCTTGTGGGTCCGGTCGGCCCACTGCTCCCAGCAGAAGGTCCGGTTGGGCGCCTGCTGGACGCCGGTCAGCAGCGCCTGGTGCCACGGCACCGGCACCGCCAGCAGGAGCGAGAGGCCCCAGATGGCGGCCACCCCCAGGGCGGCGTTGCGGGTGTTCCTGACCCCCTGCGAGCGGCGGGCGCGGACCACGGCCAGGTAGCGGTCCACGGCCATGGCGCCCAGGGTGAAGACGCTGACCAGCATGGTCACCGTCACGAAGTAGTGCACCCACTTGCACAGGAGCGCGCCGAAGACCCACTCGGGCAGCGTGTAGATGGTGGCCTGGAACGGGACGCACAGCACCAGGAAGGACAGGTCGGCCAGGCTCAGGTTCAGCACCAGCACGTTGGTGACGCTGCGCGCCCGCCCGGGCTTGGCCCGGCCCAGCACGGCCAGCACCAGCCCGTTGCCCACCAGCCCGAGCACGAAGACCAGCCCGAAGGCCACCGGCACGATCATGGCCTCGGGGCCCCCGACCCCGGCCCCGACGCCTCGGTCCGCCCGGCGGGGCGTCCCGCCCGAGCTGCCGTTCGCCGCCGCCGCCGCCGCCTCTCCTCCCGCACCTCCTCCTCCTCCTCCTCCTCCCGCCCCCGCGAGCTCGTGTGAGGGGCAGCGGCTCTCGGTCTCCATCCCTCCCGCCCTCCGGTCGAGGGGTGGAGGCGTAATGGGTTGGGGTTGGGAGGGGAGGAAGGTCGCGGGTCGCGGCCCCCGATGGTCTTCTCCTCTTCCTTCCTCTTCGGTCGGTGTGAGGGCGGGGGGGGGGGGAGGGGGAGGGGGAGGTGTGAGGGTGTGTGTGGGGGGGTGTGTGGGGGGGTGTTTGGGGTGGGGGTGTGTGTGTGGGGGTGTGTGTGAGGGTGTGTGTGTGGGGGGGGTGTTTGGGTGGTGGTGGGTGTGTGTGTGTGGGGGTGAGGGTGTTGTGTGTGTGGGGGTGAGGGTTTGTGTGTGTGGGGGTGAGGGTTGTGTGTGTGGGGTGGGGGTGTGGTGTGTGGGTGTGTGTGGGGTGTGTGTGTGAGGGTGTGTGTGTGTGTGGTGTGTGTGAGGGTGTGTGTGTGGGGGGGGTGTTTGGGGTGGGGGGGGTGTGTGTGAGGGTGTGGGTGTGTGTGTGTGTGTGTGTGTGAGGGTGTGTGTGTGTGGGGGGTGTTTGGGGTGGGGGGGGTGTGTGTGAGGGTGTGGGTGTGTGTGTGTGTGTGTGAGGGTGTGTGTGTGTGTGGGGGGTGTTTGGGGTGGGGGGGGGGTGTGTGGGTGTGTGTGTGTGTGGGGTGTGTGAGGGTGTGTGTGTGGGGGGGTGTTTGGGGGGGGGGGGGGTGTGTGTGAGGGTGTGTGTGAGGGTGGTGTGTGTGAGGGTGTGTGTTGGGGGGGGGGGGGGGTGTGTGTGTGTGGGGGTGAGGGTGTGTGTGTGTGTGGGGGTGAGGGTGTGTGTGTGGGTGAGGGTGTGTGTGAGGGTGTGTGTTGGGGGGGGGGGTGTGTGTGTGGGGTGTGTGTGAGGGTGTGTGTGTGTGGGGGGGTGTTTGGGGGTGGGGTGGGGGGGGGTGTGTGTGCGATCGACTGCTGTCAGTGTTGGGTCGGCGCTGGAGGAGGGAGAGTGGTCTCCGCGTTTATCCGCGTTCACCGCAACCGCTCAGCTCACACTCCGGTTCCTTTCTCAGAGGAGGCGCTGCGCACAGTTGCATCTTCTTTAAAGCCTTTCCAAAGAGCCAGGAACCCCCCCCCCCCTCACCCCCCCCCCCCCACCCCACCCCTTCCTCCTCCTCCTTCCCACCCTGTGCCCAAAGGAGGAGTGGAACTCACTGGACCACAATTCGTTGCACAAAAAAAAATACACAGTCCCCCCTCCCCCACCCCCAATACACAGTCCCCCCCCCTCCCTCCACCACCCCACCCCCCCCCAATACACAGTCCCCCCCCTCCCTCCACCACCCCACCCCCCAATACACAGTCCCCCCCCCTCCCTCCACCACCCCACCCCCCAATACACAGTCCCCCCCCTCCCTCCACCACCCCACCCCAATACACAGTCCCCCCCTCCCTCCACCACCCCACCCCCAATACACAGTCCCCCCCCTCCCTCCACCACCCCACCCCCAATACACAGTCTCCCCCCCCCCCCCCCCCACCCCAAATACACAGTCCCACACACCCACTTCACAGGACTGTGCGCACCACCAGGGGCTTTGAGACGTCTCCACGACGTGATAAGGCTCTCTTATCAAATGCAAGGCTTACTATTAACTTTATTTACCAACCCCCCCCCCCCCCCCCCTTCGCTGCCTTACGTCGCAACACAGGGGAAAACGACAAGCCCTCGACTGGAAATCACCAACTTCAAAGTGAATGTTGAGCGTCGGAGCTCGTTCTGCGTTGAATTCACTCCAATGCAAATTCAGAGCTAAAAGTTCAACGCAGTGCGCATTCAGAATCGTGGCTTTGACAAAGACAAACACTCTGACTTTCTAACCTTTAACTCTGAATTTGCATTGGTTTGCAATTGCAGAGGATAAATTGTTTCCATGTACAGTTTTACAAGCGCTCATGCCTTGGGAATCCCTCGGTTCGACAGTGGTTCGCTGATGTAAACGAGAGGTGTGGTCATTTGGTTTAGCTTTTGATCGTTTTATGGGTCCAAATTACTCCACGAAACACAGACGCCAATGATATTGACGAACACAGATCACAGAACATTAGCGTGTTAGCCTGGACTTTGAGCTCAAAATTTCGATGTGGTCTGGAATCAAACTTCGGACTCAAGAGGCGAGCGTGCTCTTTGTTTTATTTTTATTATTATTATTATCTGATTAAATTGATAATTACAGAGAAATAAACAACTGTTAATCAAACGGCGCTCTCAAGGATAAGCTACGTGGCTTTAGCCGGTGAAACTCCAGCAGCACACCTACTGCCTAATACTCTCCGGAATTTGATAAGAACCCCCTCTCTCTGAGGACATTGTGCGCATTCCATCCCAAACCACATGAATTTCCGGTGTGAATTTCCGGTGTGTGCAGGTGGGATGCATGGAACTCTCAATCTGGTTTGGATATTTCTAAGCACGGCGATGGGTGTGAGACGTTAGCCGACGTTTTTTAAAAAAAAACTAGATCTGAGGGGGGAGAATTAATCTCCAAATTGTACACTTTGAGCGGCTTTTTTCTTTGCTAATCGCTGGGTTTGGACGAACTGAATGAATGACATAAAACAATTGGTAGGTGGCACAGCTGCACCATTGTGTGTTTGCAGACCTAAAGTGAACAAACATAGTTATCTAACGTCTGAGCAATTCTCGTCAACGTCTTCTCATTAGCTCTTTATCACACATTTGGCTGCGCTCGCATGTCACATGCTTTGATGAACTCAGAACTGTCAATACATTTGCAATCACACTGCAAAGAAATGGGTCATAAACTTAGCAAAGGTGCAGAGTGGAAAGTAATGTTGCTGCACAGCAGCTGGCGTAATGTACCTTTAAACCAATAATAATCCTTGCGTTTGATATATCTTCAAAACGTCTCAAAGCGCTTCAAAGCATATACTGTAAAAGGAATTGACTAGAGTAAGGAAACTTGCCCAATGTGTCGCCCTGCCCAGAAATTGAACCTGGTTCCTCTCGCTTGCGAGGCGAGTGCTCTAACCACTAAGCTGCAATACAGCCCAAACAAATCCTGGCACGTCGGTTCAGCTGGGCCCCTTACTTAAGGAGAGACCTAGTACGTTTATGAATGTCTGGCCAACAAGACCAACCTTGCAACCCCACACATGGTAGAAACATTGAGTTCCTATTTCCTAGAAACATTGATTTTGCAAGTGTTAAGTAAGTGGTTTTTCACTTCATGGCTGTTTGTGGGACGTTGCGATGCACAAATTAGCTCCCCCAAAATACAAAGTTATTGCATTTTACAGTATATCCTGTGAACCACTTTGAAGTATCCTCCTGACGTAAGAGACACTATATCAAATGTAAAGATTATTATCTGTTTCTTTAGCTTGACTATGGGATTCCAGTGTTCACGTAGTTATATACAGATATAAATCTGCCAACATGAAGAAAATCCAAGAAATCTGTTGTACACTATTGTTCTGATTGAGAATTGGAATCCTATAATTCTTTATTCACACCTTTTACCTTCCTCCTTCCTACCTTCCATGTGATCTGGAAAATAAAGCCTCGAGCTGCTGATATCGAGATCCTTTTTTTCGCTGCGCTCAAATCTTTTCTCATTAAGCCTTTATGTATTACCAGCGAGGCAACTGATTTCTATAGATTGCTTTGTGGTTGCTTTGCACCAATCATTCCACTAAATCCTGGGGTCAGCCACATGTGTTCAAAGTCCTTCTGAAAGGTTTAAGTGAATCAATATTGGCAACAGATTTTTAAAAAACTGTAGGCGCTGGAAATCTGAAGTAAACTGTACATGGTGGTCTGATAGAGGTCAGAGTTGTTGGGCTGTGAATTGCCCAGTCAGGTAAGGTGTTAGAGGCAGAGACTGTTATGGGTTTCAAGTGGGAAATAAGTAGGAATATAAAAGATAGAGATTTGAAGGTGGAGGGGGCGGCTGGAGATATAGTCGATTGGCAGATCGCTTTTCCGGGGGTAAATAATTCCTTCAAAAAAAATTAATTTGTTCACTCAATCCACGACTGTTTGGGGGACACTGCTGTGTGTAATTGGCTGACGTGTTTCACCCACAAAATATACAGTCAATTCACTTTACAATATATTCTGTGAAACGCTCTGAGACGTCTCGAAGACGTGATAAGGTGCTATATCAAATGCAAGGATTATTATTATTATATGGTAAGGTACTGTACTGGGATTGAATGAACACCTTACTCTGAAAACTTGTGCAGACTGGATGGGTAACATTGCCTCCTGCACAATAAATTTCTTTGATTCTATGATATTATTTGTGGAGGGCAATATCTTCTCTAATGTGCTAAGGAGATGGATAGCATGCTATCACCACCATCAGTGTACCACAAAGGACCTGGAAAACAATATTAAGACAAGCATTTGTTTTGCTGCACATTGGGCAGAACATACATGTGTATAAGGGAAAGTTCAAGTTGTTTATGACATGTGCCTCCCCCAAAAACCTTTCTGACAGATATTCATAATAATGTAGAAATCCAGTGGAATCATGGATATTAGGGAAAATGAATATACAGTAAGACCTTCTACGTACCTTTCTAGGTGCTCCTAAATGGACCGTTCCCTCTCTGGTTTTGCAATTTGATCTCGGTTTTTCAATGATAGGAATGCTGAGAATAGACTAAATATAGATCATTTATCCATTAGCATGCTCTCCTGATATTCTGCCACTATTTGCATACTTCAACTCCATTATCATTTGGGTGGATTGGCTTAATACCATTGTGACAATCTCCATTTGTTATAGCGTCTTACATGAGGGACGGTGCCTCCCGTTGCACTGCATTGGAATGTCAGCTTAGACTGTGAGCTCAAAACCCCGACGTGGGACTTGAACCCACAACCTTCTGACTCAGAAACCTGCATGATGCCAGATTGACCACAAGGATGATCATTATGATGCTATGAACACTCCTCCTCCAGACCAGTTAACGTGAGATAACTTATATTACAGGCAAACTTTTGAGAAAGAATCAACCATCTCTTCGAATGTAGTATCTTTTAACATGTTGGATGTAATGCCAACTTTTGAAACTAGGAATCATTTTACTTATTTGCTGCGTCGTTTCTCTTTAGACATAGGGTAAAGCTCACACACACTGCACCACTATAACAAGTTTCCATTTCTTGCAACAGCCATCATTTATTGTCTCTGAGTGAGAGCATTAATTAGCAGACTCAGGCTCCTGCTCACGTAGAGCTGTACTGAATTTTCTCAGTTAGAACCATTATAAACTATTAGAGTGAGAGAGAAAAGGTGACAATTCTGAATGCATGTCCAAGGCATGAAAGAGCAGTGTTCAAATCCAGTGTTCAAATCAATTCAAATCGAGAACCTCTCATTTCACCTAATTTAATGCATTATGTTGCTGAGATGCTTTCAACACTGCTTCACTTTTCACTGTGAAAGGGCCTCCCATTCCAGATATTGCATTTATCATCAATGCTGTCAACACATTATTAACACGAAAGACCATTGCCCAATGCTTTTCTTAGGTACTTAGCATCTCACCTTGCTGCAAAGCTAGCTGCTATCCTAGTTATTCTTTCCATGCAATGGTTTACATTTTCAGCTTTTTATATTCTAGACTCCACAATCACTGAAGTGATAAGCTAGAGGCTGCAAATCTGACACGTGAAACGCCACATGTTTGCAATTATTACATTTAACCCTTGTTTCTTTTCTAGTCGTTTTGTTAAAAATGCTTGTGTAATTCTTCATCAGCAAAGCAGAAGATTTGACATTTCTTATGATGAACCTTTAAAAATACACTAGTCAAAAGAAACACATCTTCCTAATAGATATGATGGTGTCAGTGGAGTCCTGTAGCTCAGTGGTTAGAGCACTCGCCTCGCAAGCGAGAGACCTGGGTTCGATTCCCAGCCGGGCCAAACCGTGGGCAAGTTTCCTTACTCCACACGGCTGATAATAATCCCTCAAGAAAAAAAAAATAATAAATTGGTCACTTCAATCCATGACTGTTTGTGAGACACTGCCTTGTACAATTGGCTGCCGCGTTTTACCCACAAATATACAGTCAATTCACTTTATGGTTATTCTGTGAAGCGCTTTGAGATGTCTAGAATACTTGAAAAACACTATATCAAATGCAAGGATTATTTTATTATGCTTTTCATTTACTGAAAATATCTTGCCAAAATATCTTGCCAGTTCTCTTTTAAGGTGAATTCTGAAGGACATTTTGAACCTATTTATAGGAATATAACCTCATCTAATCAAAATGAAGAACTAGTGTCTGATCACAAGCCTTTTGCAATACAGATAATGAGATTTTCCAACAACGCTTCTTTAAGTAAGATTTTAATGACATTTCACAAGCTGAAGAAAGTGCAGCTCTCCTTTTGATAGGTGAAAATAGAGTCGCTATCATTTTCCTCCAGTTGGAACACTTCCAATCACCACAAATGATGAAAAATAAAATCTTCACAGTATAGGTTACACTCAAAGTGACATTACCAGGAACTAGTTTGAGAGTTTTCTGTTATTGAAGAAAGCATATAACTTCACTGAATGATTCCCAATACATTTTACTACACAATTGATTGAATTATGATTTATATTGACTAATTTTTCTTCCTCCCCACTTGCTGCCAATATATGATTTTTAAATAACTGAAATATTAGAGGATAACAAGCCATAGTCAGACTGTAGCAAGTAATGAGAGAAGACATTCAATTAAGTTTGGTCTGGCTCTGAATATGGGTTTTCTGAGGTGAACAGTAGTACTCTATTGTTAAAAAGTTTTTAAATGTCAGGTTTTTAAAAATAGTAATTTATTATCAGGTCCACAGTTCACCTTTTAAATTGTAAAGTGTTCTCTTAACATGTGTGAAAATATGGAGGAAAAAGACTAATTGCATGTGACATTTCCTCAAATCTTGTGCATAAATTGTTCCCTGGTGCTGAATAAATTATTCAGTTTTATTCCATTATTCTTGAGTCTCGTGCTCTGAAATAATCAACTCAAATGTTCTCATTGAGCTACAAGAAACAAGTCACTGATGAGCATGAAATAGCAATTTTGGAGCAAAGGACAAACAAAGCCTTTTGAATGTCAAGACATCACCGTGTGCAATAGCTCTGAGGAAATAAACCCAAAGATAGGATTCTGTGAATTTAAAAGGTTGCTTCCTCATTCCCACTTGCTCTGTTGACTAGAGGATCCACACTGCTAGATGTCTCTCTCCCATCGAAAATTCACTGGGCTCTTTTCAAACATTCATGGTTGGGATTGTAGTAAAATGTCTGAATTATTTCTCCAAAATGGTTTAAATTTAATGTTGTATCTCAATAAATGTGGAGCATTTATTTACTTATAAAAATATTACATTTATTTATTAAATACCTATTTATTGCAAAGAACAGAACATTTATTTAGAGACAAGAGGACAACATTCATGTGTTTTATAATTAATCTTTGGAAAATCGTCAGGGAGAGGGGAGTTGGCTAGAGCCAGCATAATTAACATCAATATTATTTAAAGGTTCAAAACGGAGCTTCCAAATACACAATTCGTTGTCAGCAATTACTGTTGTGTCAGTCAGATTTATAACACACTTAGAAACTCATTGCTGTGGTTAAGAGGCTTCGGTTCAGCTCACGAAAATTCACAAGAGCAGAATTTCCATTTGCCAATTTTGTTAAGCTCAGTCTCTCCTTGAGGGACAAAGCTCCATTTGCAAACTTTGAGGACACAGCTTGGTGGAAGAGAAGGCATCATGGTGCTCCATTGGTATATTCCTAGAATTCAACCATCTTAAACTGTGACACTTGCCAGTTCCAAGGCTTATTAGGAGCCAAGTGAGTAGAACCATGATTTCAGTGACAACTCTACCCTTCCATTAGTAAGTCAGGCAAACGTGTCAACCTTTTCTACAAGTCGATTAGTGATTTAAAGAAATTGGTATCAGGAGCCCTTTAAAATACTTAATTGGAGAAGTAGAGGAATCTGCTTGTGTTTTGTTAATGCAATAAGACAGAACAATCTAAGCTAAATTTCTTAAAGTAATTAAATGCAGAGAAGCAGGCATTAAGGTGTGTTGTAGAGCATGGGCAGTCATGTCTTGTGCATGAAATTAATAATTAGGCGGGGAATGAAGATAGTTCTGGTTTGAGAGCTAAAGGTGAACATACGGTATTTTACCTGCCAACCTTCAACAACATAAAACATTACTAGAGAGTGTTGACAACTATGGGTCGAACAATGTAATGAATGGTAAGTTTAAACAGCCATCTGCATTTGTTCTTGTAGTTCATTCAAATAAGCTTTTGATCAGAGAGGAGCAGGTTCTGGAAAGAACATTTACCTTTATTGTCATTATAATGAGCTTCAGAAACCAAATACTAAATAGATTACCTTTTTGAGTGAAATGTGGAATTAATAATTTCAATGTTTGGTTAGACAATATTTGGAGAATAATTTCTTACTTTTGAAATGGATAGGTGATAGAAATGAGAGACATGTATGTATCCACAGAACATTCACAGCAAACAGATTGTTTGTTAATCAACTCTCAATATATTACTTTGAGCGTAATATGCAGGTCCATATATCCTATGCTGAACCTTAAAATAATCCTTGTATTTGATATAGCACCTTCCACTTCAGGAGGACGTCTCAAAGCGCTTCACAGGATTTACTGTAAAGAGTAGTGACTGTGTATTTTATAGGCTAACTGCGTCCTGCTACACTGTGGTGTCACACAACAGATGATCCAAGGAATCACACACTTTCAAATCACCAATGAAGCATCCTGAAAAACCTTGCTAATGTTACATTCATTATCCAATCTGAGCTATTTTCTCAAACGGAGTCTACCTCTATAAGCACACCATGCAGCTTGTTAGAAAGTGCAGCACAGGCAGTAAGAAGATGATTAGCTCAGTGGCTCAAAGGAATTGCTCACAGATTACAGAAAAACAAAGCCAACATTCTGAATATATATATAAAATAACAACTTGGATTTATATAGCGCCCTCCACGCCGGATGGCGTCTTAGAGCGCTTTACAGTAACGGATCCCGGGACCGAGCCAGGTTAGATTCACGGGTGCACCTAAATGTATTTCAATTCCAGCTGGCTGTGCGAGTTTTAACTTATTTCTGCTTGCAAGCTTGTTTAAAGATCTCTGTGCATTTATTGTGCAGTAATTGCCTCCACATGCTGGTAACAAAATGTCACTTGAAGGACTGGAGGTTTTGAGGGCGCGACGAGGCAGATTCCTAATTGTGCGGTTGTTGAAAGCATTGATCTGACAATCAGTCAGTGTCGGTCAGGACAAAGGCTACCAGGATGCTTGTGATGAGCTGGTCAATTGAGAAGATTTAATATCAGTTTCCTGCTGATTCTCTGGAAGTCCTGGAGTCCCTCTGACTCGCTCCCTCACCTCTTTCAAGGGCCGTCTGAAGATCTACCTCTTTGACCAAGCTTTTGGTCATCTTTCCCCTCTCAACCCCTCGCCCCTTGGCTCCCACCCCCAGCTCAGTTCCAAGGCAGGATTGTTCAGTAACTCGGGATGTCCTCCTGACATTTCATACTGTATAAATGTATGGTATTGTATTGATTTTTTAAAATATAAAATGTAATACTTTTACAATAACATCTTTCAATATAACAATAATCATAGCTGTTGCCTAACATCACTCAATTCCTGTAAATCCGAATTTGTGAACTGTGATTCTCACTTAACACATGTGCATCGGGGGTTCAATGGTAAAATTCTCGCCTGCCACGTGGGAGACCCGGGTTCGATTCCCGGCCGATGCAAATTATTTAGCACTCGCGTAATGTATAAACACTGGTGTGGACTAGCGCAGCCGAACATCCGTGTCTTACAATCTATGTAAACATCTATGACAAGATTCCCATTTCCAAGATCGTGCCACACTTTATAGAGCACTTTAAATAATTTGATACAGGCATTGTAGCCCAAATAATTTCTTCAAATTATTTTTAAAAAANTTACCAAGATTTCACATCAGATACCTTCCAGGAAATAAACCGGGGACAAATTGAACATATATGAAACGCTTTGAGATGTCCACCTGACTTGAAAGGAGCTATATAAATGTACATTGGGCTGTAATTGTATTGAATACATCCAGGAAGGAATATTCCTTCACATCACATTATACACTATTTTTACCTTCTTCATTTTACCTTTCGGGAGATGACACCAGTAGCGTAATTAAGCCATGTTATCTTATCTACCATCTACAACCAGAGCCCTCAGATAATAAGCTCCTTCTATCATTATTCAATAAAAAGAGATGTCAATATTTTCTGCAATCACCAGGAAGATTCCTCATTTTTCAAAGACCAATAATGATCTTTCAATAGCTTTCTAATTATACAATCGGTCCCCAGCACTTTCATAATTCTATGGATTTTGAAAGCAATCTTGTCATCTAACTTTTTTATTTCATTCAGAAAATATCAACCAGTTTTGTCAATTCAGCTATACAATAAAGTTGAAGAAACTAGGCACACAGGTTCCAGGATGAAAAGTTAATGCACTGGACTTCCAGCCAGAGGCTTCCAAGTTCTGAACATGGAGGATCCATTCAACCCTTCATCCTTTTGAGGGTAATAAAATTTCCTCCACGTTTGCTGGGGTGGTTGGGGGACGGGTAAGAGAGAAGCTAAGTGTGGTTGAATGGAGTCTTAATAATAATAATAATAATCCTTGCATTTGATATAGCGCTTTTCACGTCAGGAGGACGTCCCAAAGCGCTTCACAGAACACACTGTAAAGTGAATTGACTGTATATTTGTGGGCGAACGCGGCAGCCAATTGCGCACAGCAATGTCCCACAAACAGTCGTAGATTGAAAATGACCAATTTAATTATTGTTTCTGTTTTTTGGAGGGATTATTATTAGGCTCTGTGTGGAGTAAGGAAACTTGCCCAAGGTTTCGCCCTCTGCCTGGAATTGAACTCAGGTCTCTCGCTTGCAAAGCGAGTGCTCTAACCACTGAGCTACAGGACTCAACGAGTCTTCCTATTAAAGAGGAAACAGCTCTGAAGAGACACACCTGTAAACCAAAAAACCCTGAGTGTCAGGCACCCTAGGACGTCTTTCTTATGTGAAGGGCACGATACAAGTGCCGTTTGTTGTTGTTGTTGTCTTCTGTAGTAATCCAAGGCCACAGTTGGAGCTGCAGACAGGTCCTCAATCTCTATGATAGGGTGGTAGTAGCTGGGGAACTCCTAAAGTGATTGATAGCGCCTGGTACCCTTAATTATAATAATCCTTGCACTTAATATAGCACCTTATTATAATAATCCCTCAAAAAAAATATGGTCACTCAATCTACGACTGTATGTGGAACACTGCTGTGTGCAATTGGCTGTGCTGCGTCACAAAATACACAGCCAATTCACTTTACAATATATTCCATGAAGCGCTTTGAGATGATGTGATACGGCGCTACATCAAATGCAAGGATTATTATTATATAGCTAAAACGTCTCAATGCACTCAACAGGCAGTGAATGTACTTGCAAGCAAATTAACTGTAATAATTTATTTAAAAATCAATTGCCTCTAATGGCACTTTAATTGTTCCGTTTGGGTAAAATAAAGCAGAAGGTGACAGATAAGTTTTTTTTCCCCACAAATACCACACATCATGGATAAACCCCTTACGTGCTCAGTGATTGATAGCGCCTGGTAACACGTTTATAAATAATTACAACTTTCCAGTCATCTGAGGAAATATTATTGAACTAAAGTAAATTTGATGCTAAATGTGATGTATGACATAAATATTGTGGAGAATGGAGGTCTGGCAAACTGTTTTTTTTGACAAATTGCCCAAAACCAACTTGAAATTGTGACATTATAATTTAATTGTATCCCTCTTCCTCTCAGTATTGTGAGACGCCCCAAGCAGCAAGTTAAGCTAATTCAGTCACTCCAAACCTTCACAAATCTGCACCACTCTGATTATTTCAAAATAAAGGGGTTCGCATTTCAATTTAACATTCTCACTTGGACAAGGCAAAGAAATACAAAGAGGGAAGACAGATGGAGAAAGAAATGTGAGATTATAATCTTGCGTTTTAAAATAAACTGTACTTTCGCCCAAATCAGACACTTTTTTTAAATAAAAAGCATGAAAACAGTTTCCATGTTTTTGTATATCTTTCTTGTCGGCAGTTGTGAGCATAAAGAAAAATTCTGCTGGGACGGAAGGGAAAATAATCAACGTACAAGAAAATTTAAAAAATATGGGAGATAAAAGATGGGAGCATTACTTATAGCATCAGTAGCCCAGCAATGACATTTGTGACTTCAATGACCAACAAAAAGGCAGTGCTATACATTCACTGTGCTGGGCCATTCATTTCGTATTTAGTTGTTACACTGATGTAGTAATTCAGCACTCAAGAGGTTAAACACTTTTTATCCAATAAAAAACACAACATTTTTTGTGCATTACTTACCATGACAACGTGCCTCCACTTTTATTATTTGTTCAAACCGATTCCAGGTGAGTAAAAAGCGAGGAAACAGAGCCAGACATTGAATGAGACGGAACTTAATGCTGTGCTACAGATCAGCTCATTATTATTAAGACGACTATTTTTCATTCACTCTAATGGGAATAGTGCCTTATTTCATATCATAACCTCAAGGAAAAAGATATTACTGTATGAATGACTATCATTCACCATACTGTATTAACAGTTAATGTAACCGCATTATGAATTTGGATCGTCATTCAGTCGTCTATAACATGTAATCATCATTGCTGTTCTGCCTTCTCCTACATATGATGCTCACCAACACTTTACAGAGCACCATCTCAATAGAATTATAGCCCATGGATCTAACAGCCTATTTACATGAGGTATTCGTACAGTTACAAAGTGATGGATGACACCCCCCCACCCCCTCACCCAACCACCACATACACACATTTTGGTAATGTACAAACTAATATTTACTGAAATTAGTTTTACCCTGCGGTTATCCATAACGTTTTCTCAATCACTATAATGGATGGGCATCATAGTGGGTGGGCCATAGTCACACTTTGGGAACATAAACTTGATTAAAATAGGGGGAAACCACTAACCGTTGAATTTCCAGAAGTAAGGTTAGCCCTGTTACTTGCAGAAGTATGATTATCCAAAAACCACAATGATCTCAACAGAACCAAATATACAGCAATATACCCACAAGGAAACCTCATACAGATATTAAGAGTGAACAGAGCATGGACATTATTACAAATGGGCACTAATGAGGCATGTCTGCCAATGGTGAAGGTGAATTTATTATCAGATTTTATTTCTGTTGGTTCACAAATTTTATGAAAGGCTGCACCACTGGCCTGGGATTCATGATCTGATGAAAGCAAGTTAATAATGCAACAGTGTAATCAGATTACCTTTTTGAGACAGGAGTGAGTCATTCATTCCCATTCTCTTTCAGATAATGAGGGTCTTTTCTATATAGATCACAGAAAAACAGCACAGTTTTTATCTGTTTAGTTTTTTTTTTACTTCCAGCTTTATTCCAATCTTCTGCAAATCTCTCTGATCTGCTGTGAAATAAGCTGTGTTTTGAGACGTGTCTTTACAGGGTAAAGAGGGAAAAGAACCCATACCACACAGTGTAAATCTCCCTCCACCAAAGGTAATCTGAATTGAGTGGGTGTGTTGCTTAGATTAATTGCATTTTAGTATCTGTAGAATATTAGCTACCACACAACAATTCAAAGCAATTCAAGCTTTTGCCATTTATATTGAACATATGGCAACTCGTAGAGGTCAAATCTGTTATACTCCTACAAGGAGATACTATCAACCTATTTGGATTTGATGGGTTAATTTTCAGTGAATAGAAGTACCGTTTTGAGGGACAGTGCTAATTCAGCAATCCACCTATATTTACTACCAAAAGTCCCCCAGAACCTTTACAAAGCTCAATCCTTTGGGGTCTGTTCTGCAGTTACTCTTGACCACCAGAGACTCGCAGAAAAACTGAACCCACAATCTCAGGTACAATAATATTAATAACCTTTGCATCTGATATAGGACCTTATCACATTGTACAATGGGGCTATCGATTTAATGGCAAGACCTCCCTGTGACCTCTGTGCAACGTGTGATGGGAACACAAGATGCATTTTGAAGGAAACAATAAGATTGACCTCAAAATCGTACCTGTTCTACCTTTATTCTGTGATTCCTATGAGTTTGCTTATAGACACCATTATTTTGCAACTCCATTTACCATCAGACTCCTATCAGACGGCCTGCCCAGAGCATAACACACTTCGATTCAATCAAACTGACCTTATATGGAAAAGAAAATCACAAGTTTTATTAGGTACCGTTAAAAAAGGAACAGGAACTGTACTGTATTGACTATGGCCTGTGGTGTCAAAGTAACTTCCATTTCTTAATTGTTCCTGCTTTCATGAC